CCCTCCACAGGGCTGTGACAGGGGACTGGGGCCTGTGGGACCCCCACCCTCCACAGGGCTGTGACAAGGGCCTGGGGCCTGTGGGACCCCACCCTCCTCAGGGCTGTGATAAGGGCCTGGGGCCTGTGGGACCCCACCCTCCACAGGGCTGTGACAGGGGCCTGGGGCCTGTGGGACCCCACCCTCCACAGGGCTGTGACAGGGGCCTGGGGCCTGTGGGACCCCACCCTCCACAGGGCTGTGACAGGGGCCTGGGGCCCGGGAGACCCCACCCTCCACCCAGGTCCCCGCTGTTCCGCACCGCGTTCACTCCCGACAGCTGCTGGCCACCCATGAGGGCCACGACGGAGATGAGCTGCCAGCGCAGCGCCCGCATGCCGCACAGCCGCCGCACGGACACCAGACCGGCCGCCCGCTCCGCCTCGTCTTCCCGCCGGATCTCCTCCAGCTCCTCGTCCACCTCGTCCCAGCCGCGCAGCGTCTGCAGGGCTGCAGGAATGCCAAGCGGCGGCGTCGGCCCGGGCCCCCGCAGCAGGGCTCCCTGGGCTGCCACCCCCACATGCCCACGTTACCCTTCCTGGCGGCGTCTTGGTTCTTCCTCCCGATCAGCAGGTACCTGGGGCTCTCGGGGAAGAAGGGCAGGAGCAGCAGCTGCAGGGCGGCCGGGACCCCGGTCAGCCCCAGGAGGATGGGCCAGCCTGCAAGCAGGGGGCAGCTGAGGGCCGGGCCTGTCCCCAAGCTGGGGACCACACTCTGCCCCAGCACCTGGCAGTGCCTGGTGGAGAGCAGACACTCAGAGCACCCTGGGCCGTGACCGCTGCACCCCCACCACGCGAGCACATGTGGCTGAGTGGGCAGTGTGCATTGTGGCTGTGTGCATGCGCTGTCAGGCCTGCCAAAGCGGGGCCAGCCCCCCGCAGCCACGGAAGCCTGTGCCTGGGCCACCAGCACCCCAGAACTGCAGTGGTGGGAACAGCACCGTGCAGCTGTCCGGAACATTCCCTTCACGTGGGTACGTAAGCTGGGGGTCTGAAAACCCGAACTGGTGCTGCGGTGAACATGCAGCTACCCCGCCACGGACGGCGCCCAGATGGGAGGCCGATGGCACAGTTCACACAGCGTGGCTCCCTTCTGCAATGTTCACGGGCAGGTGCAGCCCACCATGGCTGAAGGGCGTGAGACTGGGGGCAAAGGCCGGGAAAGGAAGATGGTGAGGGTCTACAGAGTGGCCCCTGCAGGACAGGTCGGGGCACACATGGGCTCCCAAAGGCTGTAATTTCTCTATTTGAAAAAGTGACACAGAGAGAGAGGGGTTAGAGAGAAAGAGAGAAAGGAGGGGGAGAGAGAAAGAGAGGAAGAGAGAAAAAGAGAGAGAGAGAGAGAGAGAGAGAGAGAGATCTTCCATCTGCTGGTTCATCCCCCAAATGGCTCCAATAGCCAGAGCTGGGCCAGGTCAAAACCAGCAACTAGGAACTCCATCCGGGTCTCCCACGTGTGTGGCAGGGGTCCAAGCACTTGGGCTGTCACCCACCGCCGTCCCAGGTGCATTAGCAGGAAGCTGGATTGGAAGTGCAGCAGCCGGGACTGGAACCGGCGCTGTGATGTGCGATGCTGGCGTCGCAGGCCGTGGCACCACAGCACCGGCCCAAGTGTTTGGTTTCTCTTTTAGTAAATGAATGTTTACATTTTTTGAACTTTTCCTTTGTTTCTATGTCTGTTTATTGAGAAACACACATATTGTTTCACAATAAGAATGGTGATAGGGACAGGCATTTAGACCACTGGCTAAGAAGCCTGCGTCTCACATCAGAGCAGCAGGTCCGATACCTGGCTCCGGCTCCTGGCTTCAGCTTCCACTAATAGAGACACCAGAGGCAGTGCCGAGGGCTCAAGTGGTTGGATTCCTGCCGACTAAGGGCAAGGCCTGGCTCCTGGCCTCAGCTGTGGCCCAGCCCCAACCGCTGCAGGCATTTTGGGAGTGAATCAGTAGATGGGAGAGCTCACTCGCTCTCTCTGTCTCTCTCTCTCTCCCCCCACCACCCATAAGCAAATGATCCCTAAAACCGTGACGTGAATAAGTGGGCAGCCCAGGCCCCTCTGGGGGGGTCAGTGTCGGTGTCGTGGGCACCCGTGCGCCGGGCCCTGGGCCAGCTGCCTTCACAAGCCTTCTTCCTTCTCACAGCACTGCTGTGAAGTGGGCGCCAGGATCAACCCCATTTCACACATGCAAACACGGAGGCAGGCGGAGTGTAGGTCCCTTGTCCAAACCACACAGTTGTCGGGAACAAAGATGAGAGGTGAACCCAGCAGGATGGAGCCACACGGCAGGTGGGCTTTGAATCCCAGTTCAGGCTGTGAGTGCCCAGCTTGTGCAAACCGGGGCTTAGACACCATCTTTCTCGGGTCACGTTCAGTCTCTGTGCCAGCCTCCATCCCTTAACCACAGCGCTCCTGCCCACAGCCTGCCTCTGGCTTCACCACCAACACAAACCCACCCAATGTCAAGTTCAAGTTCAACCTCCGCACTGCCCACTGCTCTCAGGCTGGATCTTCCGCTTGCTTCCAGACCCGCATCCCACGTCAGTCCCCTGCACCGTCGGCAGCAAGTGTAGAACTCTCAGCTGCCACACAGACCACGGCCGCCTGGCCTCGGGGGGTGGCCCTGTCCCCAAGACCGACGATCTCCCAGTGACCCAATCCAGACACAGCTGTCGATCTGGATCTCCCTTGCCACTCCCCTCCGAGGGACAAGGCCAGTGGTCAGCAGAAGCGTGCGCCCCGGGCCGGTGGCTGGGGAGCAGGTGCGGTCGGGGGAGGCTGGGGCCCTGCAGCCGGACGCACCTTTTTTGTTGGCGAGGATACTCCGAAGGCCGAAGATCTGGGCCACGAGGATGCCGATGGTGATGAAGAGCTGCGGCACCACCCCGAGGGCGCCCCGCAGGTTCTTGGGGGCCAGCTCCCCCAGGTACATAGGGACCACGTTGGAGGACACACCTGGCGGGGGGTGGAGGTGAAAGGTCAGGAAGAGTTACCTGGCAGGGACGAGCTGCGTCGTCCAGGGCCCGTCGTCCTCTTACTGAGCAAGTGCCCGTGGCGGCGGACGCCCTGGGGACTCTGCGTCCTTCCAACTCCGGGGAGAGAGAACCAGCGCGGAGGAACTCCCGCACACAGGCCCCGCCGTGGCCCGGAACTCGCTCCGCTCCTGCTCCTTGGGGAGGCTGTCTGCTCAGAGGCCCAGGACCCCTGCGTGCCAGCTTTCCCGCGGACAAGGAGTGGGTGACGTAATGAGCTGATGCCCAAGCGAGATCTGTCCCCGACGGCTGGCGACCTCGCTGCCCGCTGTGGCACGGCTGCACGTCCACACTTCCTGTGATGCCCGAATGCTCCTGAGTCCCCAGTACTCAACGTGTCACAGCCCCGCCATGCTGGACTCTGAGTCAGGATAGGTGGGACTCGGTCTGCGGTCTCCCAAGTGTCTTCACACGGATGAGCGTTACTCCATGTGACTCTCCTAAAGCACAGAGGCTGAGCGCCACACACCTGGTCCTGGATCGCGGCCAGCCTCAGACAGAGGTGGTGGAGAAGGAGGCATGGCCACACGCGGGACCCCGAGGGAACAGGGTTTGGGGGTGAGCGCAGGTTAGAGCTGCTGGTAATGGGAGGGCATTTGGTAACAGAAGACGAAGTTTTCTGCTTTGCAATTCTGCTCAGTATTTCAGAGATGGGACAGTTCACTGATACCAAGTCTTTCTGGGCTCCAGAGCAGAGAGCAGCAGTAGTCTTTGCTGCAGTGGGGACAACACCCCCCAGGCCCAGAGGCGTGGAGGGAGGGGGAATCCTTCCGGAAGCTGGGGCCCTGGAGGTGCCAGCGTGGGCCTCAGCACTTTGCAACAGGTGGAAGTGGCCATCTTGTAATGGTAAGTCCTTTTTATAAAAATAAGATTTATTTATGTATTTGAAAGGCAGAGTGACAGAGAGAGAGAGAGAGATGAAGAGAGAGAGAGAGAGAGAGAGACAGAGAGAGAGACAGAGAGAATCTTCCATCTCCACTACTTTACACCCCAAATGGCCAGAAGAGCTAGGCCAGGCTGAATCCAGGAGCCTGGAGCTTCACCCAGGTCTCCCACGCGGGTGGCAGGAGCCCAGGCACTGGGCCATCTTCCACTGCTTTCCCAGGAGGATTAGCAGGAGCTGGACTGAAAGCAGAGTAGACTTGAACTGGCGCCCAGATACGGGAAGTGCGGGCTTAACCTGCTGCCCCACAACGCTGGCCCAGCAAATTTCTCTAAGAACCAGTAGTTTCTTTTCTACCTTAAATGTATGTATTTATTTAATTTATCTGAAAGGCAGAGGGACACACACACACACACAGATCCTCCATCCCCTGGTTCATTCCCCAGTGGCTGCAACAGCCAGAGCAAGGCCAGACCAGTCAGGAGCCTGGGACTCCACCCAGGTCTCCCGGGTGGGCAGTAGGGACCCAGGACCCGAGCCGTCAGGCACTGCCTCCTGGGATGTGCAGCAGCAGGAAGTGAGGTCGCTGGGACCTGAACCCGGTGCTCTGGTGTGGGACGTGGGCGTCCCCAGGGCAGCCCAACCCGCTGCCCTACGACATCAGCCCCGCCAGCTCTATGCTGCTCTCTAAAAGCTGAAGGCCCAGTATCCCTAACACATCTCTGGTGGGGGAATTCATACAGAATGTTGTGTCTAAGCTTTTATTTTATACCGTAATCCATACTTAAAAATATACGAATACATTTTACATTGCAACTCGTTTCTCCCACACGCATACAGGTAAGAACGGAAGCAAAAGGTTCCTGAGACAATACTGTTCTTACTACACAGGGCACGGTGCTGCTCACTAAACAGGTGTCACCCCTCACTAACTGGCCCTGACTTGTTGCTTATAAAAGACTGAGACACGGGCCAGTGCTGTGGCATAGTAGGTTAAGCATCTGCCTGCAGCACCAGCAACTCATATGGGCGCCAGTTCAAGTTCCGGCTGCTCCATTTCTGATCCAGCTTCCTGCTGACGGCCTGGGAAAGCAGTGGAGGCTGGCTCAAGTCCTTGGGCCCCTGCACCTGGCTGGGAGATCTGGAAGAGGCCATTTGGGAAGTGAACTAGCAGATGGAAGACCTCTCTCTTTTTCTCTCTCTCTCTCCCTCTCTCTGCCTCTGTAATTCTACCTTTCAAACAAATAAAATAAATCTTAAAAAGAGAAGACTGAGATAAAGAATTAGCCTGGGGGCAGACGTGTGGCATAGGGGTTAAGTCAACATTTGGCAATGCCCCTGTCCCATGGCGGAGTCCCACCTTGGCTCTCTGCTCCGGCTCCCTGCTAACACACACCCTGGGAGGCAGCCATGATGGCTCCAGTCCTTGGGTCCCTGCAACCCATGTTCCAGGCCCCTGACTTCAGCTGCCTTGTCCTGACTGCTGTGGGCATCTGGGGAGTGAACCAGTGGTTGGGAGATTCCTGTCTCGTGTCTCTGCCCATCAAATGAAGAAGGCGGCAATGGAGGAGATGCAGGGAGAGGAAGAAGAAGAGAGGAAGAAGAGGAGAGGAAGAAGAGGAGGGGAAGAAGAGGAGAGGAAGGAGAGGAAGAAGAGGAGGGGAAGAAGGTGGGGAGGAGGAGGAGGAGGAGGAGGAGGAAGAGCTATTAGAATAGATTGGAAGAACCCTGCAGAACTGAAAATTATGTCAGTCTTTCTTTTTTTATGTTTTTTAAAAAATATTTATTTATTTATTTATTTTAAAGGCAGAGTTATGGGGGGCAGGAGAAAGAGAGAGAGAGAGAGAGAGAGAGAGAGAATGAATCTTCCATTCTCTGGTTCACTCCCCAAATGGCCACAATGACCAGGTCTGGGCCAGGCTGAAGCCAGGAGCCAGGAGCTTCCTCCAGGTCTCCCACGTGGGTGCAGGGACCCAAGCACTTGGACCACCTTCTGCTGCTTTCCCAGGTGCATGAGCAGGGAGCTGGATCGGAAGTGGAGCAGCTGGGACTTGAACCCGCTGTGCCGCAGCGCCAGCCCTGTCAGTGTTTGAAAGAGCAGCTTGCTGTGCCGGAGACACCGCAGGGAAGACCTGCCTGCTGCCTGCCCGGGACAGCCACGCTGGGGCCGGGGCGTCCGTCTGACGTGGCCGTGCTTCTGACTTCAGACTGGTTCAGACCCGGGCGCTTGCTCTGCCTCCCCTCGCTGACCCCCAATAACAGAGCTGGAGAGAGCACCGCCTTGCCTACCTGCGCATATTCCCACCAGGAGTCTGGAGACGATTATGAGCTCAAACGACCTGGCGACTTCGCTGCACCCCATGAGGATGGCGGGCACGATGGAAAATATGTTGTTGAACAGCAAGGCCCCTTTTCTGCAAGGACAAAGCAGCGGTCAGCCTGGCTTCAGGAGTCACTCATGCAGTCAACAAACGTCCCTGGGGTCAACGACGTGCAGGCTCCTCCGGCGGCAGCAGTGAGCTCTTCCGATGCACGTTAAGGTCTCTGGGACCTGAGGCGGACACGGGTCAGGGCCAGAGCCTGGGGCAGGAAGTCTGTGTGGGAGCAGAGGGAACTGTCCCGGCAGTGGGCACGGGTGGTGAGCATGGAGGGAGAGGGCCTCGTGTTAACATATAAAATATGTTGGCTTCGGAAGTCAGAGCCGGTTTGCTATTTTAGTGTAATCTTGAAACTCAAACTGGGTCAGGAAGGTAGCAGAAAGGATGAGGCTGCCCTCACTGACATCAACAGAGAAGCCAAAGACCCTAAATGAAGTAGCAGCAGGCTGCGTTCAGCAGCATACATAAAATCTTCCCAGGCATTTCACCGTCTTAGAGATCATACTAGGGAAACATCTAGGATTCCCTCAACAGAAGCAGGAAACAGATCATGAAACGTAACACCATTATGACTTTTACAGAAACGGCTTTAACAAACTGTTAAGTAGAACCTCTTTAGGCCGATAAAGGCGATCCTGAATGAGACTGGAGGAGCATTCCCGTTCCGGTCAGGACGAGCCTGCGCAGGGAGACCGGGGCCCTGTGACCCAGGCAGAAGCCAAGCACACATCTCTGCAGGGGGCCTCACCATGACGCCACCAATGCCAAGCCCCTCCTGATGAACCCAAGTCTGGCCTTCTCCCTTCAGTCCTCTTAGGCAGTGAAAGTAACCCAGCTGGTCACTGCCCTGGCCTCGTGATGAGGGCTTCAGCTTAGGCCTACGTTTAAAGGTCTGCTGGCATCTTATGAGTTTCAGGTGGCCAGCCCAGTGGTTAAGATGGGCCTGGCACTGTGGCATAGCGGGTAGTCGCCGCCTGCAGGGCTGGCATACCGATGGGCAGCAGTTCAAGTCCTGGCTGTTCCGCTTCCAATCCAGCTCCCTGCTAACGCACCTGAGAGAGCAGTGGAAGATGGTCCAAGTCCTTGGGCCCCTGCACCCTGGTGGGAGATGGGGAAGAAGCTCCTGGCTCCTGGCTTTGGATTGCCCAGCTGCGGACCATTGTGGCGATTTGGGGCGTGAGCCAGCAGATGAAAGGCCTCTCTCTCTCTCTCTCTCTCTCTCTCTCTCTCTGCCTCTCTGTAACTCTGCCTTTCAAATAAATAAACAAATCTTAAAGGAAAAAAAATATGACGGCATCCCACATCAGAGTGCCTGGGTTAAAACCCCAGCCCCGGCTCCTGACTCCAGCTTCCTGCTAACGTGCACCCTGAGAGGCAGCAGTGATAGGTCAAGTGCTCGGGCCCCTCCCCCCCACATGGGAGACCTGGATGGAGTCCCTGGCTACTGGCTTTGGTGTGGCCCAGCTGAGGGCCACCGGGGACATTGGGGAGGGAACCTGGGGATGGGTGCTCTCTCTGTTTCTCTTCCCTTACCTGCCAAATTTATTCACCAAGGGGCCAACCAGAAGGGACCCGACAAAGCCTCCGAAGGGAAACATGGACACGGTCACGGACCACAGCAAGGTCAGGGGGAACTCGTCGATGAGCTCCCCGGTTCTGTCGTAGTAGGTGTCGTTGTAGAACTGCTTCATGAGCTGGGCAGTAGAGGACACAGCACTGGAATGAGCTGGTTTTCGTCATTCCCCACCCACCCCCACGGGACACCCTAGGGGGAGTCAGGATGAAGCGAGTGAGCTGGGGGTGCTGCCCCAGGGCTTTCCCTCTTGATGGGCTCTGCCCCTCCAGACTCCTGACCCCCTGCCAGGCGACAGAAGACTCGAGCCCCTCCTGGGGCCTCGCACGCTGTCCACGCCCAGGGGGCCAGGCTCCTGAATGCTCCTGATGGCAGAGGTCTGGGGTCCCCATGGGTCTGTGCTGCGCCCTGAGGGTGCTTCCTTCTCTGTGGCCTGAGGAACCGCCATGTGTACCCACTGTGTGCGCGGTCCCGCCCCCGCTGGCCATGCCCTGTGTATTCAGGACCCACAGGGACCGTACCTCGGCTGGGGAGTTGACAACAGACACGTTGTAGCCATACTGGAAGGACGACCCGAAGGCAGCTATCAGGGTCGCCAAGGCAAGTACAAGGGTCAGCCTCTGCAAGAGAACAGGAGAGTGAGCGGGAGGAAGACAGGGATGGGGGGGTGGGGGGGCTAGGTCAGGGATGCAGACGCCTGGGGTGGGGGTTGGGCCCAGCTTTACTGCCAGTCTCGCAGCAAGATGTAACAGCACCTGCAGGCCTGCAATCGTCCTTTCTCCCCATGGCGCTGTTGACCTCTGGGACCCCTCATTCTTTGTTGTGGGGCTGTGCTGTGGACGGCTGGAGGCTTGGAGAGTGCCTGGCCTCTGCTCCTCAGGTGCCGGCAGTACCCCCTCCCCAGATGTCTCCTGACGTTGCTGCAAGCTCCGGCTCCATGGGCGTCCAGATGGCTTCGTGACCCTCCTCCCCAGGGCTCACATTTGCCAACCCCCAACCTCTGTCTCAAAGAAAAACTGCCACAAAAAAATCCAAGGGAAAAATGTGAAAACGTTGGGGCCGGCATTGTGGCATAGTGGGTAAAGCTGCCAGCCTGCATCCCATGTGGGCGTCAGTTCATGTCCCAGCTGCTCTACTTCTGATCCAGCTCCCTGCTAATGCGCCTGGGAAAGCAGCAGAAGATGGCCCAAGTGCTGTACCTCTGCACCCATGTGGGAGACCCAGATGGAGTTCCTTCTCCTGGCTTTGGCCTGGCTCAGCCTGGCCATTGCAGTCATCTGGGGAGTGAACCAGTGGATGGAAGATCTCTCTCTCCCTCTCTAACTCTGACTTTCAAATAAATAAAAAGAGGCTGGTGCCGCGGCTCACTTGGCTAATCCTCCACCTGTGGTGCCGACATCCTGGGTTCTAGTCCCGGTTGCTCCTCTTCCAGTCCAGCTCTCTGCTGTGGCCTGGGAAGGCAGTGGAGGATGGCCCAAGTGCTTGGGCCCTGCACCTGCATGGGAGACCAGGAGGAAGCACCTGGCTCCTGGCTTTGGATCAGTGCAGCGCCGGCCACAGTGGCCATTTGGGGCGTGAACCAACGGGAGGAAGACCTTTCTGTCTCTCTCTCTCACTGTCTAACTCTGCCTATCAAAAAAAAAAATAATAAAAACATAAATTTTTTTAAAAAAATTTGAAAATGTTTAGTTATTCAGGGCCACTGATGAACTTCCCTCAGCCCTGGGCTTTCACTAGGAAGAAGACCAGGGACTGAACATTCAAATACAGACGGCAGGGGGTCTTGGGCCCATTCTGTGGCAGACACGGAGCACTCACTGCAGATGGGATGCTCTTTAACGACAGGAGGGAGCTCACACACAAAGTGATGCAAACGGGGAGGCAAACAGACGTGGAGCAAGAATGCACAGTTCTGCTGCAGGCGGGCACTGCCACTCTCCAGCTCAGTTCCTAAGCTCTCTGTTCCCCGCTCACGTGCGAGGGCAGTGACTCCCTCAGAGCTCCTGCAAGGGCTCGCGGTGGCCGTGGTCACGTGGCCGAGTCTGGGCTGCAGGCCTGGGATGCTGTTCTCGGGGCCTCCCACACAAGCACCTGCAGGCATCTACGCATCTGTGGCCCCTTCACGTGGACACGTTCACTCTCTCCCCTTCCGGCACCCTTGGGCAAGCTGAGCTCCTTAGGGCACCGACCTCCTAAATCCAAAGAGGACCTCTGGAGGGAGGTGAGGGAGGAGGCGGGGCAGAGGGAGAAACAGCAGTGTTCCTGCCCGGGCGTGGCGGCCTGCAGAGCAGTGCCTGCAAGGAGCCCTGGCCAAAGGCAGAAGTGCTCTGCACATGCACACACACACTCACACAGACACACCACACAGACACACCACACACTGCACACACATGCACGTGCATACACCCTGCACACACACCACACACCCTGCACATACACACATTGCACGCACCCCTACCGCACATATATACCCACTGTGCACACATGGCACACACACACACACTACACACACTACACACACACACACCACATACATACCCACTGTGCACACACCACACACACTGCACACACACTGCACGCACATGCATGTGCACACACACCCTGCACATACACACTGCACACATACCCACTGTGCACACACCACACACACACTGCACACACCCATTGTGCACACACATTCCACATACACTGCATATAGACACCCACTGCACACTCACACATACACACACGTGTACACATATGTGCAGGTATACACAATTCAGAGGTGATGGGTGTCAACCAGTTTGACTGTGGCAATCATTCCACAATGCGTATGTCTACGAAACCATCAGGTGTGCGCCACACAAACACAAACAGAATTTTTATATCTCAGTGACATTACAATAAAGCTGTTCAGAAAGGACAAAAGTCGGGTTGGTGTTGTGGTACAGTGGGTTAAGCTGCCGCTTGTGATGTCGGATTCCATACTGGAGCACTGGTTGGAGTCCTGGCTGCTCCACTTCTGGTCGAGCCCCCTGCTAACGCTCCTGGATAAATCATCCTGATTATCCAGGGTCCAAGTACCCGGGCCCCGACACCCATGTGGGAGACCAGGATGGCGTTCCTGGCTCTTGGCTTCAGCTTGGCCCAGCCCTAGCTGTGTGGTCATCAGCTTAACTTGCTGCACCACACTGCTGGCCCCTGGCGAGACAGTCATCTAAAAACTATGTAATCACGTGGTGATCGTTAACTACAACTTCTGTAAGTGTTACAAAATTAACCTGAGACCTACCACTTCTGTAAGTGTTACAAAATTAACCTGAGACCTAACACAGCAGCAGAAATGGGAAGAGAGAAGGTTTTTCAGAAATCACTAAGGCCACTGGGTGTAGAACAGAAGTGGGGAGCCTGGGTGAGTGTGTGCTGCGCTGGGTTCAGCCGCTGCCTGGGACATCCACATCCCACCCTGGGGTGCCTGGTTCAAGTCCTGCCTCTGCTGCTGAGCCAGCTTCCTGCCGACGTGCAGCCTGGGAGGCAGTGGGTGACGGTTCAAGTACCCACGTGAGGGACTCACATGGAGTTCCTGGCTCCTGGCCTCGGCCTGGCCATTGCAGGCATTTGGAGAGTGAATGACTGAGAGATTCCTCTCTCAGATTTTCAAATAAGTAAATTAGGCTGGCGCCGTGGCTCACTAGGCTAATCCTCCACCTGCGGCGCCGGCACACCGGGTTCTAGTCCTGGTCGGGGCGCCGGATTCTGTCCCAGTTGCTCCTCTTCCAGGCCAGCTCTCTGCTGTGGCCCGGGAGTGCAGTGGAGGATGGCCCAAGTGCTTGGGCCCTGCACCCGCATGGGAGACCAGGAGAAGCAGCTGGCTCCTGCCCTTGGATCAGCGCAGCGCACCAGCCGTAGCAGCCATTTGGGGGGGGTGAACCAATAGAAGGAAGACCTTTCTCTCTGTCTCTCTCTCTCTCACTATCTAACTCTGCCTGGCAAAAAAAAAAAAAAAAAAAGTAACAAAAAATCTTGAAAAAACAAGCATTAAATGAAAGGAGCCAGTCGCAAAGGCTACGAGTCGTCTGACTGTCCGGAACAGGCAAATCCAGGGACAGAGAGTGGCCAAGGGCTGCCTGGAGCTGGCTCGGGAGGAGACTCGGCAGAAACCGGGAATAGATCCCAGCGGGACAGGGTTTCTCTGGGGGATGACGACAATGTCCTAAAATCCACCGTGCTGATGGCTGCACAGCTCTGAGCAGACACGCAGTTGTGTATTTTATCTTTAATTTTTTTCCAACTTCATTGAGGACAAAATACAAGTTGTGTCTACAGCTGCTCCCCAACTTATGACGGCTTGATTTAGGGTTTTTCAACTTCACAATGTGCAAATCATGAAACCTTGACCTTGGCCCTTTCCTGGCTAGCTCCGTGCAGTCTCATCCCCTCCCAGCACGCTGGACAGTGGCCGTGGCCGTTGCTCAGGGGCCTCCCTGACTGTGGTGCATCAGGTCACGGGGCAGCATTCCGGGGGCAAATGGGATGCGTTCTCCTTATGACGTGTCTCTGGGCCAGCCATAACCTCGTAGGCAGCACCGGAGTATCTGTGCTGGAGGCACACGGAGGGGCGTGCCGGCATCCGCTCACCAACACTGCTCTCCCCATCACCTCCCACAGCTGCCTGTGTGCGTACGTGTGGGGCGAGGACTTGTCAGACCCACCCTTGGAGCTGCGTCTGCCACTCATGCTCCCAGCTGTAGGCACCGGGCTGAGCCCTCGCCAAAACGTACTCATCCTGCAAAAGTGAACTTCGCACCCTCTGACAGCACCGGCCCTCAGGGCCTGACAACCTCTGCTCCGTTCTGCTGCTGGGAGCTCCACTCCTTCAGGTTCCACGTGGGACTGAGGTGGAGCCTGCTGGCCTGGCTCATTACACTCGGGCTCATTCGTGTTGCACAAATGACAAGACTGCCTCCTTTTTTAAGGGGGACGAGTTATATACTTTAAATGAGTTGAGATTTCACAGTGTGCTGAGTTAGAATCTCAACAGCGTCATCTTTTAAAAGGCACCCATAAAAAAGAGGGTTGGAGTTTTCTGCCTTCCCTCCCCCTCCCCCTCCCCTCCTCCCCCCTCCCCTCCCCCTCTCCCTCCCCCTCATTCTCCTCTCCCTGACATTTCCAGGAGGGGAAGAAGGAGGAGGTGTGGGTTTGCTCCTGGGCTGGATTAGCGTGGGAGGGAGAGGAAGGGACCAAAGAGGACGTTCAGGTCTCTGACCAGGTTGTTAAAACAAGAGGTCCCTGGAGCCTGGAGACCCAGCCAGGAGTGGCTCTGCTGAGAGGCCGAGGGGCTGGCTAAATCCCGGGTCCTGGTTCTCAGAGAAGCTGGGCACCACAGCCTCCACACTCCCAGTGGCCCTGCTTCTTGCTGTTGTTCTTAATGTTTGTTTGATTTTTATTTATTTATTTATTTGAAAGGCAGAGAGAGAGAGGGAGAGAGAGAGGGAGAGAGTCTTCTATCCACTGGTTCACTCCCCGAATGCCCACAACAGCCAGGACTGGGCCAGGTCAAGGCCGGGAGCCATAACTCTATCCTGGTCTCCCCCGTGGGTGGCAGGGGCCCAGGTACCTGGCCCTCACCCGCTGCCTGCCAGGATGCAGCATTAGCAGCGGGCTGGATGGGAAGCCGAGAAGCTGGGACGCTAACCGGGAACTCCTCCGTGGGATGCAGGCATCCCGGGAGCGGCTTCACCCCTGCACCCAGTCCCTCTTCTTCACGTCTGGAGAACACTTCAGTAAAACAACCTCTCCCAGCGTGGATCTTGGGTGTGGTCCAGCGACACCGGCAAGGAAGCCCCACCCACACCACCTCCCAAGGACACCGGTCTGCAGTGGGACACAGAAGCCAGTGAATCAGGATTAACCCACCTGAGCAGCATCGAGGACCCAGGAAACTCCCTGCCAACACGACAACCAGTGAGCGGTGCAGGCACCGCACACAACACAATGCTTCACTCTCCAAAGCAGACTTATTTGGGGGGGAGGGGAGTGCGTGAGCTTAATTCAACAATTCTTGTGGCGTCAACAGTTCCAGCGGCTTTGCTGCACATTTTTTGTAAGCCACGTTATCTTTTTCTTTCAGGCCAACAGACTTTTCCTGGCAGAGAGTTCTCGGTGCACATCAGACAGATACCCGTCCTTTCTCTTTGCATGAGAAAAACCAAAGCCAGCCAACGCCATGGCCACCGAGGGACAGGCCTGGGCCTGACCCACTGCCCAGCACCCTCCCCCAGCAGCGCCTGGCCCCCATGCACACCCCAGCCCCAGTTCTCAGCCCCAAATTCCTCCTTGGCCTCACTCGATGGTCTCCCAGATTCTTACACACCACGCTCTTGCTGTTTGGCGCCTCCCGGTGGGTGCCGTGCTGTGCCCTGGCTTTCTTCCCAAGGGCAGGTCACCCTCAGGACGGGAAGCCCATCCCTGCCATGACTGCGCCTGGCCTGAGGGACGTCTCCTGAGCCAGGCCCTCGAGGGGCAGGCGGCTGGGATCAGCTCTTGCCCCCTGCATGTGGCTCCCGGTGCCGGGGGGGAGGGGGGCATTTTCCTTCCTTTCTGCAGCCACACCTGGGCAGTTCCGGCACAGGCCAGACCAGGGCCTCCCTCGGCCCCAACATCCAAGTCCTCATGAGCTCAGTGCCTTTTCTATCAGCCAGAAGGAACAGCACTTGATTTGAGTAACACTCGCTCAGTCGTGAAAACCAAATGAGATGACCCCAGTGAAGGCACTGCACTGGGGCACAAGGGCTGGTCCTGCCTTCTACGAGAATTTGTCACACCTGGGGGGAAGGTGCTACTGGCGTGGGCACAGCCAGGGATGCTGCAGAACACATCACACGCAAGATCACCCCCACAACGAAGAGTTACCCCGTGCCAAAAGTCAAGAGTGACAAGGCGGGAAAACCAAAACATCTACAGGGAATTCACCGGGCGCCACGTACTCTTGGCACGCGTGGCCTCTCTCCATCGTTCTAGCACCCTCTGAGCTGGTGTAGCTACGATTCCCATTTTGCAGAGGGGAACGCTGAGGCACAGGTTGCCTGAGTCCCACTGCTAGAACAGGACGGGGCACCTCCCCTTCGAGCTACAGGGCGTTTGCAGCCCGTCCACGCCTGAACATATGGACAGTATTCTGCACAAAGGTGTACCGCTCTTCCCCATCACCACGCATTCTCCTCCATCGAGGGAATCTAAAGGTTGCGGCAGTTACATGGGGGCGGGGGTTGGGGGTGACCTGAAAACCTTCCTCCTTCAAAAGGCAGGCACCCTCAGCAACACCTCTGGGCTCAGTTCACATCTAGCAACAGCTCTCTGAGTTTGTCCGCTTTGCGCGCAGCTTTGCTGAGAACATTCATTAAAATGTAACCGAAACCAAACTGGAGTAATCCGACTCGTAAGGATTTCGGGACCAACGCGGTTGGCTCTGGGATCCTCTGCCGCACACACCCCGGACAAACCCACCCTCCGGGTCTCTGCTTTGCTGCCTTCTGAAGCTCCAGCAGAACGGAGCCCAGAGCACACTCACCTCTGGCTGCTCCCCTGCTGCTACCTGGACCCCAGCGGCAGGTCCCCTCCGGCTGGCCACACCCCCGCGCGCTCCCAGGGCCTCTCCGAAAGAGACTGGGGACCTACTCACCCCTTCCTTCTTCTTCTCCTGGCCCTCTTGCTCCATCTTCACTCTGCAAGAGCCCCGGGCTGCTAGCCTCCTCCGACTGACACATGAGCTGCAGGGAGAGCAAAGACATGCCGGCTGCACTTTGGCCGTGCCAAGCAGCAGCCAATAGCATTTTTACGGCCAGCCCGAGTCAGAATAACCCTTTCCGGAACCGGGGGTGGGGGTGGGGGGCTCGTCCTCCTCTCACTTCTGCTTTGAAATTCAGTGTCTGGGGTTTGGAGTCCCGGAGACTTGCAGGCACAGCGCCCTGCTGGTGGGCACCGTCTGTGGCACTTCCTCCCGGCTCTGACCCCCGCCAGGCAGCCTCACGGGGGGTGACTGGAAGGGTGATTTCTGTAAGGAACACATGGAGGCAATGGCTGTCACCTGTCCCCCTCCCCGCACGGCACCGGGGAAGGTGGGGAGGGCGATGGATGGGTTCCTAGAAGCTTGGGAGACCTGGCCCCTGCCAGGAAGCCTGCAGCCAACCGTCTCAATGGGGAGTCCGTTTTTGCCCACATAGCACTTTGCGGGGAGTTTTACTTCCCTTTCAAAGGAACCGGGTGCTGTTTCCTGTGCACTCTCCACCGCTCAACCCCTTTGTCGGAGGAGCAGGGAAAGTGAGGGTCTGGTGGACCGGCAGCCAGGCCACTGCCTGCCCCCCACCCCAGTTGGGGGGGGGGGTTGCACGTGTTCAGCCACCACTGGGCATGCAGGCCAAGCGGCCAAAATCCAAAGTCCCATCAGTCCCGCAGATTTCCATCTTTCACGGGACAAACTCCCTGTTTTATTGGCCGTGGCACAAATCCAGCGAACTCCCATTCATCTTTCTTCCTCCCATTCACCTTCTGAACGGCTACTGGGAACCCGCGATGTACGTGCTGGCACCGTCCCTGGCATCCGCACAAAGTGAGCTGTGCTCAGGGCTCCTGGCGTGGGTGACGGCGTGCATGTGTGTGTGCGTGCGTGTGCATGTGTGTGCACGCGTGTGCATATCGGGGCGTGCCTACAGGAGAGCTGAGCGTTTCCAGGCCCCTTCTTGTCCCTCCTCTGTCACAGTCCCCAACTCAGCGGTTTCCAACTAAGGCGTGGCAAGGTTCCAAGTGATCTTGTGTGTCTCCCAGTGCGCCCGCCGCGCGTGGGGCACTGAACGCTGAGGGCGGCGGCGGAGGCCGCCACACCCAGGCCCTGCCTGCGGCGGGGAGAGGGGGACGGCCGGCCAGGCCCACAGCCCACCGGGGCCCATCCATCAGGGGGGCAGCGGCCGCCCTACCTGGTTCCCGCCGTTCGCGGGTTCCGGGGCGTCGCGGGCACAGCGCGGCGTCACCAACGTTTGCCCGCCGGTTTCACGGCGGCCCTGGAGGTGCGGGAGTGCGCGTGCGCGGGAGAGGCCGGGGCCCGCTCGGAGGCCAACGTGACGCCGGGCGACGGGGAGGCCTCCGGGGTGCGGGCAGAGCCAGGCTGGGCCGCTGGGGACCCCGCGGACACGAGGCCGCCGTGACGTGGCCGGAGCCGGGGCCTGAGGGAGGCCGCTGGGCCGCCAGGCCAGGCCGCTGGCGGGAACCCGGCGACAAGGCCGCCGTGACTCCGTGGGACTGGGGAGGCCGCCGGGGCGTGGGACGGGCTGCACTGAGAACTCGGCTTCCAGGCCGCCGTGAGCCCGGGCTGGCGGCGAGCGAGGCCGCCGTGACGCCTGGGACTGGGGAGGCTGTGGCGCGCATGGGCGCCCGCGTCGGCGGCGGCCGTTGTCCGTGCCGGGGTCGACCTCGCGGCCCGGAGGCCCCCGGAGCCCCTGGCGGCCCACGGGACTGGGCTGAGGGCTCTGGGGCCGCCCAGGGTCCCTCGTGGCCTCTGCAGCCCCGGGGGCCGCCGCCGGGCCGGGCGGAGGGTTGGGGGCTCCTGGCTGACCCAGATGGGCGGGAACTTCATATTTTTCCCCGGGCTCAGCACCCCCATCCCTGGCCGCAGGGCCTGGGCTCTGCCCGGGGCAGGGAAGCGCCCCCTGAGCCCCGTTTTCTCTGCAGTGAGCAGCGCTGATTAACCCAGGGCTTTTTGGCCAGTTGCAGAGCAGGCCGACGCGAGCCTGAGGATCCAGTACTAACACTGCCCGATGAACACCAAAGAATCCCTTTCAAAGGAAAAGCGGAAGATTCGGGCCATACCTGGGCGCTGGGCCTGGCTTCCGCGTGGCCACTCCTGGAGTTTCATTCATCGTGGAGAGATTATATTAGGGTTTTATCATTGAAGGGAAGGACCCAGAGACAGCGAATTTTCCTCTTTCTCAGAGGGCTGTGTCTTTGGTCGGCTCTAACCTGTTGCATTAGGTGGTTTTAATATTTTTTTTTTTAGAAAAAGAGCGATAGATCTTCCATCTGCTGGTTCACTCCCCAATGGCTCCAACAGCCAGGTCTAAGATGGTGGAAGCCAGGAGCCAGGAGCTCCATCCATGGGTAGCAGGGACCCAAGCACTTGGGCCATCTTCCCCTGCCCTCCCAGGCACCTTAGCAGGGAGCTGGACAGGAAGTGGAACAGCCGGGACATGAGCCAGTGGTAGCTTAACCTGCAGCTCCGCCACGCTGCCCCTCAAGCTGTTATTAAATAGGGGAAGGGTGGGGCCAGCGTCAGGTTAGGCTGCTGTCTGCAGCACCAGCGTCCCATATGAGCTCTGGTTTGAGTCCCAGCTGCTCCACTTCTGATCCAGCTCCCTGCTAATGCACCTGAGAAAGCAGCAGAGGATGGCCCAAGGGCTTGGGCTCCTACACCCATGTGGGACACCCGATGGAGCTCCAGGCTCCTGACTTCAGCCTGGCCCAGCCCTGGTGGTTGCAGCCATTTGGGGAGTGAACCAGCAGATTGAGGATCTCTCTCTGCCTCTCCCTCTCTCTCTCTAACTCTTCCTTTCAAAAAAAATTTTTTTTAATGGGGAGTATGCTATGGCAAGAGTTATAGTTCGGGGATTTTGGAATTGATCTGAATTCTTAAATCATTATTACTGACAAAATGTAAATATTAATGTTAGCATGCATTTTTGGAAAAGTTACCAGAATCTGAAAGCAGTGGTTACAGAGGACCGTGAGATTACGGGTAGTGTAGCTTCAGAATCTCTGTGTTTTTATGTATTGAGCCTAATCCTGTGCTGGCAGGGAACAGTGGGTGCGAAGCCAGCCTTGGCCTCATGGCGCTTAGACTGTAGTTGAGTAAACAGAATTTTAGTCATGAAAACACAGCCATGAACAGGAGAAAGGGACAGAACTTTCACTAGGCAAGGAGGGCTGGGCGTGGTGGGGCAGAGAGACCCTTTTAGACTGGCAGCAGAATGTGTCAAGGCCCTGTGGTAGGAGACGTCGCAGGAGGAGCAAGAGGCAGAGGGCAGAGGGTGTGAGCAGGAGGCTGCCGAGGTCCTTAGTGGTGAGCACTGGTTCCAGAGCTCGCTTTTTGTTTTAGGAGCAGACTGAAGACAGGAGGGGTTGGGAGAGTGACAGGTGTGTGTTTTTAAAGTTAAGTCTGGGGCCAAGGGGGCACTGATGAACAGACAAGTGCCTGGATTTGGGAACGGGGAGGGGGCAGTGGCCGTCTTCTGCCGCAGCTCAGGGACAGCAATGGAGCTGAGTTGGCCCAGCAGGGTGGCTGGGGGAGAGGCCCACTGGAGAGACTAGGATATACAACTGAGGAAACCTGAAACCTGGCGATCAAAAGGATGGGGGAGGGGGAAAAGGTCTGTTTATTACTGTCGTAAAGAGAAAACAAAAAATAAGATTTGGGGGCTGGTGCTGTGGCATAGTAGGTTAAGCCTCCGCCTGCAGTGCTGGCATCACACATGGTCGCTGGTTAGCGTCCCGGCTGCTTCTCTTCTGATCCAGCTCCCTGTTAATGGCCTAGGAAGGCAGTAGAAGATGTCCCAAGTGCTTGGGCCCCTGCACCTGCGTGGGAGGCCTGGAAGAGGCTCCTGGCTTCAGATTGGCCCAGCTCTAGCTGTTACAGTCATTTGGAGAGTGAACCAGTAGAAAGAAGGGGCCATCAAGGAAGGAGGTACCTTTCTCTGAAGGGAGGAGAGAACTTCCACTTTGATTATGGCCCTGCTAAATAATGTCGGAGTTTGTGGACTCAAAAGGCTTCCAAAGCCTTGGCAGCTCAGGACAAGAGCCTCGGGTGATCACTGACAACATAAATAAGAGTGTCAGTTGTTAACAACAGGAGTCACTGTGCACTTACTCCCCATGTGGGACCTCTGTCCTGAATGTGTTGTACTATGAGAATTAATGATAAAACCAATCTTCAGACAGTACTTCATACTTTGTGTGTCTGGGTGTAAACTGTTGAAATCTTTACTTAGTATGGAGTTGTTCTTCTGTATATAAAGATAATTAAAAATGAATCTTCAGCTGGTGCCGCAGCTCACTAGGCTAATCCTCTGCCTGTGGCGCCGGCACACCGGGTTCTAGTCCCGGTCGGGGCGCTGGATTCTGTCGCGGTTGCGCCTCTTCCAGTCTAGCTCTCTGCTGTGGCCCGGGAGTGCAGTGGAGGATGGCCCAAGTGCTTGGGTCCTGCACCCCATGGGAGACCAGGAGGAAGCACCTGGCTCCTGGCTTTGGATTGGTGCAGCGCACCGGCCGTGGCGGCCATTTGGGGGGTGAACCAACGGAAGGAAGACCTTTCTCTCTGTCTTTCTTTCTCTCTCACTAACTCTTCCTGTCAAAAAAAAAAAAAGCTTTTATTTAATAAATATAAATTTCATAGGTACAGCTTTTGGATTATAGCTGCAGCTGAGCCGATCCAAAGTCAGGCGCCAGGAGCTTCTTCCAGGTCTCCCACATGGGTGCAGGGGCCCAAGAACTTGGGCCACCTTCTGCTGCTTTCCCAGGCCATAGCAGAGAGCTGGATTGGAAGTGGAGCAGGTGGGACTCGAACTGGCGCCTATATGGGATGCCAGCACTGCAGGTGGTGGCTTTACATGCTACACCACAGCGCTGGCCCCGATGACAAAGTTCTAATGACAACACATGCGAAAATGCTGTGTGGTAGTCCCTTTCTCCGTCCTGCTGCCTGCAGTGTGTGTGACACCAGTGTGGG